CTTATTCAGCACAGGAGGTTGGTGGCACCTTAATTGGGGAGAACAGGCTAGTGGTAATGGCTGGAGTGGAATGGTATCAAACACATGCTTTCACTTCACTGAGTCCTCCTGCATAGGCGAGTTCTGTCCAGACCACCTAAGGAGCTGATAGAGTTTGCCCTGGGTATTCGTCATCGTTGTCAGCCTACCCTCTGCTGCCTCATTACCCAGCTCCGTACAGAGGTGTGCCAGTCTCTGGTTGAGCTTCACCAGGCCAACCAGTAGAGCTCCCACGCCCAGCATCAAGCTGGGCCACAGCAGAGACCACAGGACTAGGTCTAACGTGTACTTCCTCTTCAAAATGGTGTCCTTTGGATATTTTCTGGGGTCGGACAGACAACGCAACGCACTGCCTTGTATCTCCTCCAAAGTGTTTAGGATTTTCTGCACTTCGTCCACAAGGACTTTCCTGTCTACTTGACATTTGGGTATGTAGAAACACTGCAATGATAAGGGAAAATAGTATACATATTTTGTTAATATTATCTGAGTCTGATATATATCATAACTTGCACGCATGACTAATGCACATAAACTAGTTCGCTAGACACCAGTCACTCCAGATGGAAGCTTCTCCTAAATGACTGTGAAGCAAATTACTAAAATGAGCGACATTCAGTCACTGGTGGCCTTTATTCTACCTCAGGGTTGAGGAGTACAGACTCTTCATCATAGTGTAGGCGAGCCTTCTGTCCAGAGGTACTGAGGTTGACCAGAACCTTCAAGCATGGGGCAGTGCTGACCCCTCTGCAGTCGGCCCACTCATCCAGAACATCAACCTGGACCAGCAAGCAGCTGGCCTCCTCATGCCAGTCACTGAAACCACCAGCATGAATAGGAGTTGATGAGAAGCAGTTGTGTAAAGTACTTAAGTAAAAATACTTGAAAGTACTACTTAAGTAGTTTTTTATGAGTTCTTTACTTTACTATTTATATTTTTTACAACTTTTACTTTTACGTCACTACATTCCGATAGAAAATTATGTACAGTGAGGGGAAAATAATATTTGATCCCCTGCTGATTTTGTACGTTTACCCACTGACAAAGAATTGATCAGTCTATAATTTTAATGGTAGGTTTATTTGAACAGTGAGAGACAGAATAACACAAAAAAAAATCCAGAAAAACACATGTCAAAAATGTTATAAATTGATTTGCATTTTAATGAGGGAAATAAGTATTTGACCCCCTCTCAATCAGAAAGATTTCTGGCTCCCAGGTGTCTTTTATACAGGTAACGAGCTGAGATTAGGAGCACACTCTTAAAGGGAATGCTCCTAATCTCAGTTTGTTACCTGTATAAACAAAAACTAAAAAATACATTTAAAAAAATGATGTAATAATTATAATTATAATTATAATAATAAAAAAAATACACATATAAAAAATAAATAAAAATAAATAAAAAAACAACAACAATATATATATAAAACAAATGAAAATTAAAAACATACTCTAAAAAATAAAATAAAACATTTCAAAAATGAAGAACTATAAAAAAGATAACAAAAAAACATAAAAAAAAAAAAAAAAAAAAAAAAAATTGGTAAAGTGGTTGTCCCACTGGCTATCATAAGGTGAATGCACCAATTTGTAAGTCGCTCTGGATAAGAGCGTCTGCTAAATGACGTAAATATAAATGTAAATGTAAATGTATAAAGACACCTGCCCACAGAAGCAATCAATCAATCAGATTCCAAACTCTCCACCATGGCCAAGACCAAAGAGCTCTCCAAGGATGTCAGGGACAAGATTGTAGACCTACACAAGGCTGGAATGGGCTACAAGACCATTGCCAAGCAGCTTAGTGAGAAGGTGACAACAGTTGGTGTGATTATTCGCAAATGGAAGAAACACAAAAGTACTGTCAATCTCCCTCGGCCTGGGGCTCCATGCAAGATCTCACCTCGTGGAGTTGCAATGATCATGAGAACGGTGAGGAATCAGCCCAGAACTACACGGGAGGATCTTGTCAATGATCTCAAGGCAGCTGGGACCATAGTCACCAAGAAAACAATTGGTAACACATAACGCCGTGAAGGACTGAAATTCTGCAGCGCCCGCAAGGTCCCCCTGCTCAAGAAAGCACATATACAGTGAGGGAAAAAAGTATTTAGTCAGCCACCAATTGTGCAAGTTCTCCCACTTAAAAAGATGAGAGAGGCCTGTAATTTTCATCATAGGTACACGTCAACTATGACAGACAAATTGAGATTTTTTTTTCTCCAGAAAATCACATTGTAGGATTTTTTATGAATTTATTTGCAAATTATGGTGGAAAATAAGTATTTGGTCACCTACAAACAAGCAAGATTTCTGGCTCTCACAGACCTGTAACTTCTTCTTTAAGAGGCTCCTCTGTCCTCCGCTCGTTACCTGTATTAATGGCACCTGTTTGAACTTGTTATCAGTATAAAAGACACCTGTCCACAACCTCAAACAGTCACACTCCAAACTCCACTATGGCCAAGACCAAAGAGCTGTCAAAGGACACCAGAAACAAAATTGTAGACCTGCACCAGGCTGGGAAGACTGAATCTGCAATAGGTAAGCAGCTTGGTTTGAAGAAATCAACTGTGGGAGCAATTATTAGGAAATGGAAGACATACAAGACCACTAAAAATCTCCCTCGATCTGGGGCTCCACGCAAGATCTCACCCCGTGGGGTCAAAATGATCACAAGAACGGTGAGCAAAAATCCCAGAACCACACGGGGGGACCTAGTGAATGACCTGCAGAGAGCTGGGACCAAAGTAACAAAGCCTACCATCAGTAACACACTACGCCGCCAGGGACTCAAATCCTGCAGTGCCAGACGTGTCCCCCTGCTTAAGTACATGTACATGTCCAGGCCCGTCTGAAGTTTGCTAGAGTGCATTTGGATGATCCAGAAGAGGATTGGGAGAATGTCATATGGTCAGATGAAACCAAAATAGAACTTTGTGGTAAAAACTCATCTCGTCGTGTTTGGAGGACAAAGAATGCTGAGTTGCATCCAAAGAACACCATACCTACTGTGAAGCATGGGGGTGGAAACATCATGCTTTGGGGCTGTTTTTCTGCAAAGGGACCAGGACGACTGATCCGTGTAAAGGAAAGAATGAATGGGGCCATGTATCGTGAGATTTTGAGTGAAAGCCTCCTTCCATCAGCAAGGGCATTGAAGATGAAACGTGGCTGGGTCTTTCAGCATGACAATGATCCCAAACACACCGCCCGGGCAACGAAGGAGTGGCTTCGTAAGAAGCATTTCAAGGTCCTGGAGTGGCCTAGCCAGTCTCCAGATCTCAACCCCATAGAAAATCTTTGGAGGGAGTTGAAAGTCCGTATTGCCCAGCGACAGCCCCAAAACATCACTGCTCTAGAGGAGATCTGCATGGAGGAATGGGCCAAAATACCAGCAACAGTGTGTGAAAACCTTGTGAAGACTTACAGGAAACGTTTGACCTGTGTCATTGCCAACAAAGGGTATATAACAAAGTATTGAGAAACTTTTGTTATTGACCAAATACTTATTTTCCACCATAATTTGCAAATAAATTCATTAAAAATCTTACAATGTGATTTTTCCTCATTTTGTCTGTCATAGTTGACATGTACCTATGATGAAAATTACAGGCCTCTCTCATCTTTTTAAGTGGGAGAACTTGCACAATTGGTGGCTGACTAAATACTTTTTTCCCCCACTGTACATGCCCATCTGAAGTTTGCCAATAAACATCTGAATGATTCAGAGGAGAACTGGGTGAAAGTGTTATGGTCAGATGAGACCAAAATCGAGCTCTTTGGCATCAACTCAACTCGCCGTGTTTGGAGGAGGAGGAAGCTGCCTATGACCCCAAGAACACCATCCCCACCGTCAAACATGGAGGTGTAAACATTATGCTTTGGGGATGTTTTTATGCTAAGGGAACAGGACGACTTCACCGCATCAAAGGGACGATGGACAGGGCCATGTACCGTCAAATCTTGGGTGAGAACCTCCTTCCCTCAGCCAGGGCATTGAAAATGGGTCGTGGATGGGTATTCCAGCGTGACAATGACCCAAAACACATGGCCAAGGCAACAAAGGAGTGGCTCAAGAAGAAGCACATTAAGGTCCTGGAGTGGCCTAGCCAGTCTCCAGACCTTAATCCCATATAAAATCTGTGGAGGGAGCTGAAGGTTCAAGTTGCCAAACGTCAGCCTCGAAACCTTAATGACTTGGAGAAGATCTGCAAAGAGGAGTGGGACAAAATCCCTCCTAAAATGTGTGCAAACCTGGTGGCCAACTACAAGAAACGTCTGACCTCTGTGATTGCCAACAAGGGTTGTGCCACCAAGTACTAAGTCATGTTTTGCAGAGGGGTCAAATACATATTTCCCTCATTAAAATGCAAATCAATTTATAACATTTTTGACATGCGTTTCATCTGACTGATCATTTCTTTGTCAGTGGGCAAATGTACAAAATCAGCAGGGGATCAAATACTTTTTTCCCTCACTGTACTTTTTACTTAAATTTCGAATGATTAGCAGGACAGGAAAATGGTCCAATTCACACACTTATCAAGAGAACATACCTAGTTATCCCTACTGCCTCTGATCTGGTGGACCCACTAAACACAAACTTATTTTGTAAATGGCGTCTGAGTGTTGGAGTTTGCCCCTAGCTATCCATACATTTTAAAAACAAAAAATTGTGCTATCTGGTTTGCTTAATACATGGAATTTGAAATGATTTATACTTTTACTTTTGATACTTAAGTATATTTAAAACCAAATACTTTTAGATTTTTACTCAAGTAGTATTTTACTGGGTGACTTTCACTTTTACTTGAGTCATTTTCTGTTAAGGTATCTTTACTTTTACTCAAGTATGACTATTGAGTACTTTTTCCACCACTGATGAGAAGTTATGGTAACACTGTAGGTGTCCTTATGCATGCATTCATAACGCCTTTACAACAGCTATATAACACATAACATTTGTCATAAGCTGTCATAAGTTGTCATAATTAGTTATGAGGAATGCACATGATGTAATAAAACTAGCTATAATTGGTGTCATAGATGACTGTTCATACTGTTGTCATACTGGTGGTTGTCTCGTTGTCAAAATAAATACAAATCATAAGTACATCTGTACCCCATGTTTCTTGGAGATCCTTTCAATGGTTAAGTTTTGTGATACTCTCAACTCATCCTGTGGTATAAACACATTCATCACTGTTTTATATTACCTGAAATGAATGTCACTTTACTTAAAGTGTCTGTGCACACTCTATAAGGGTATATGACATGGTTATGACGCCCATCATTCCATTCAATGTAAAATATAACACAGAGGTTGGTAAATGAAATATTACCTTGTTATAACATCTTGTATGTAGACTCTTATGTAGCATGTAATAACATATGACATAAGTTGTCATGCAGACTATGTAATAGCAGTTGTTTTTAAAAGTTGCCCTTAGAGCATATGACAACAGTATGAACAGTCATCTATAACACCAATTATAACTAGTTTTATAACATAATGTGGGGTTTCTCATAACTAGTTACGACAATTTATGATAGCTTATGACAAATGTTATGCTTTCTATAGCTGTTATAAAGGCATTATGAATGCATGCATAAGGACACCTGCAGTGAAGTGTTACTGAAGTTATCTTACATCATTGCGTTATTTGCTATCTTGCATTATGCAATGCATACTCAATAACTCAAATTCTTCACTTAGATGATCATAAGGATGCAATGCATAATTCCACCGGGCAATGCAGTACAGTCATCTCCTACGAATGACATTCAGCCCAGATTATTTTGATTCTTAGAATCATATGATTGATTCTTAGAACTAGAACTCATTGTAAGTGTTCAAAACCACCAGCTCTCTGTGTCCACTCACCAGATAGCGATTTTGCTCCTTATATAAACGTCTTATTGACAGAGGCCTTCCTTACCTGTTTAGGTGGGGTTTGACCAAAGTGATCCCAACCAGAAAGTACATGAGTACAGAGAAGGCCATCATAGTGAAGCCCAGGAGCATGGCTCTGTCCTCCCCCACACTGGAGGCTGTCACCTGGGCCTTGGCCCTTTCCCCTCCGCACCCGTAATCTCCCAGCTGCCACACCTGCTCCCTCGCCGCCGACGGGTGGAAGATCTCCCTTTGTCATAGGCACACACATACACGCACATGAATGAATGCACACACAAATGAACACACACACACTCATAAATTAACACACATGTATGGATGCCCTGAAGGCCAAGGCAATATTTTTTAAAGTAGACTCTTGAAATTATCTCATTCGAACGACTTAGTATGTCAACAAGATCTCATGTTGTGTACGGCTTAAAGTGGTCCTATGGACAGATACTCCAATCTCCGCTGTGGAGCTTTGCAGCTCCTTCAGGGTTATCTTTGGTCTCTTTGTTGCCTCTCTGATAAATGCCCTCCTTGCGTCCGTGAGTTTTGGTGGGCGGCCCTCTCTTGGCAGGTTTGTTGTGGTGCCATATTCGTTCTATTTTTTTAATAATGGATTTAATGGTGCTCCGTGGGATGTTCAAAGTTTCTGATATTTTCTTATAACCCAAGCCTGATCTGTACTTCTCCACAACTTTGTCCCTGACCTGTTTGGAGAGCTCCTTGGTCTTCATGGTGCCGCTTGCTTGGTGGTGCCCCTTGCTTAGTGGTGTTGCAGACTCTGGGGCCTTTCAGAACAGGTGTATATATACTGAGATCATGTGACAGATCATGTGAGACTTAGATTGCACACAGGTGGACTTTATTTAACTAATTATGTGACTTCTGAAGGTAATTGGTTACACCAGATCTTATTTAGGGGCTTCATAGCAAAGGGAGTGAATACATATGCACACACCACTTTTCCGTTATTTATTTTTTAGAATTCTTTGAAACAAGTTATTTTTTTCATTTCACTTCACCAATTTGGACTATTTTGTGTATGTCCATTACATGAAATCAAAAAAAAAAATCCATTTAAATTACAGGTTGTAATGCAACAAAATAGGAAAAACGCCAAGGGGGCTGAATACTTTTGCAAGGCACTGTAAAGGGAAAACCAGCCGCTTCACAGACACTGATGCCTCACTCACAGATAAGCTGAACACCTTCTTCGCCAGCATCCCAATCTGCGTCCTCATGCGCAATCTCTCCCTATCCCAGTCTGTCGTCCCCACTTGCTTCAAGCTGTCCACCATTGTTCCGATACCCAAGCAAAGGTAACTGAGCTAAATGACTATGCCCTGTAGCACTCACTTCGGTCACCATGAAGTGCTTTGAGAGGCTAATCAAGGAACATATCACCTCCACCTTACCTGACACCCTCTATCCACTACAATTCACATACTGCCCCAACAGATCCATGGATGATGCAATAGCCACTGCACTGTACATCGCCTTATCCCACCTGGACAAGAGGAATACTTATGTGAGGATGCTGTTCATCGACTAGAGCTTGGCTTTCAACACCATAGTGCGCCCCAAGCTCAATATTAAGCTCAGGGCCCTGGGACTGAACCCCTCCATGTGCAACCCTCCTGTACTCCCTGTTCACCCATGACTGTGTGACTACGCACGACTGCAACTCTATCATCAAGTTTGCTGATGACACAACAGTGGTAGGCCTGATCACTAACAATGACGAGACAACCTCTCCCACAACAAAACGAAGGAGCTGATCATGGACTACAGGAGACAGCAGAGAGAGCAAGCCCCCATCCACATCGACGGGGCCGCAATGGAGAGGGTCAAAAGCTTCAAGTTCCTTGGCGTGCGCATCACCAAGGACCTGAAATGGTCTCACCACACCGACACCATGGTGAAGAAGATGCAACAGCACCTCTTCAACCTCAGGAGGCTAAAGAAATTCAACATGGCCCCTAAGACCCTAACAAACTTCTACAGATGCACCATCGAGAGCATTCTGTCAGTCTGCATCACCGCCTGGTATGGCAACTGCACCGCCAGCAACCGCATGGCTCTCCAGAGGGTGGTGCGTAGTCATAACCGCAGTCAAATTCCTCGTGACCGTTGAAAATTTTAAACATGAACTCACTCATATAAAAAGCAGCTCTTTCCTGTATTCGTTGACAGTCTCTCTCTAGTCATGGTTTTAAAAGTTTTGAAATCTCACAGTCTCAACTTTGCTGAAGCTTTATTTTACGCCTGCTATGTTACTGCAGATACAGTCATCTGATTGGCTAGTGGTAGGCCTATAGTGCACTTGATTTGCTCCCCCCAGAAAGGCAGAGTTTGTACCTTCAGACATATGAAATGGTTCAAAATGGGAACACGTTGCCTACCCGGCTCGCAGGGCAGTGGAATCGGGTGCACCTACCGCCAACAGCGAGGCTTTTTGAACGCAAGGCTTATCGTTGGGTTTTTTACAGAAATGTTTGGCGATCGACTAGGAATGCTTTGGAGATCGACCAGTTGATCGTGATTGACCAGTTGGTGACCACTGGTGTAGGCTATATTCAATAGATGTATTATACTTTTTTTAATGTAGCCTAGGGATTCCAAAGGTCTGCATCAGTGGCTTGTAGGCTATGCGTGGAAGCCCGGAGATGCTAAACGTGTTTATGGTTGTGTTAACAGTCAATTACTGTGAGACCGACAGTTACCAGCTGACAAAATGTAATGACCGCCAGAGTCCTAGTGGTGTGGTCAGCCCAATGCATCACTGGGGGCACACTGCCTTCCCTCCAGGACATCTACAGCACCCGGTGTCATAGGACAGCACCCGAGCCACGGGCTGTTCACCCTGCTACCACTTAGAAGGCGGAGACGGTACAGGTGTATCAGAGCCGGGACAGAGAGACTGAAAAACAGATTCTATCTCCAGGCCTTCAGACTGTTGAACAAACATCACTAGCCGGCCACCGCCTGGTACTCTGCCCGACACCTTAGACACTGTCACTAGCCGGCCACCGCCTGGTACTCTGCCCGACACCTTAGACACTGTCACTAGCCGGTCACCGCCTGGTACTCTGCCCGGCACCTTAGACACTGTCACTAGCCGGCCACCGCCTGGTACTCTGCCCGGCACCTTAGACACTGTCACTAGCCGGCCACCGCCTGGTACTCTGCCCGACACCTTAGACACTGTCACTAGCCGGCCACCGCCTGGTACTCTGCCCGGCACCTTAGACACTGTCACTAGCCGGCCACCGCCTGGTACTCTGCCCGGCACCTTAGACACTGTCACTAGCCGGCCACCGCCTGGTACTCTGCCCGGCACCTTAGACACTGTCACTAGCCGGCCACCGCCTGGTACTCTGCCCGGCACCTTAGACACTGTCACTAGCCGGCCACCGCCTGGTACTCTGCACTTTAGAGACTGCTGTCTCATGTACAGTATATAGAGACATTGAACACTGATCACTTTATATGTATATACTGTATTCTAGTCATGGCTCATCCTATATAACTAATGCTGTACATATACTATTCTATTCATATACTGTCCATACTGTCTATACAGAACATACATACACATAGACACACACATATATATATGCCAGACAGAAAGGGGGCTTTGATGTACAGTTTCGCTCACCCACCTTCCAGTTTCACTATTCCCCACCCATTGTATCTTCAATTGAATTCAAAAACATTATTTATTTAGGTAATCCCTAACCTGGTCCCAGACTGTCTGGGATCAGGTTAGGGATTACTTAAAGACCTGTTTGTGCTGTCTTGCCAACTCCTAGGGTCATTGGCAAGACAGCACCAACAGATCTGGGATCAGGCTAGGTAACCCCTGTGTCTCACCGTGTCTGTCGCCTCCGTGCACCCTGCAGGTTGATGTTAATGGGGACGCTAAAAGACTTCCGAGGTGAGGCTGTGTTCAACAACATTCCTGCTTTTCAAACACACCAACAACTTCCTGTAGTCAGGTAGCCCAGTGTTTGTCAACCTCCGGCCCAAGTACCAGCTCTGGTCCCTGGGATGATGCTTAGCAGTCCCTGAGATGTTCAGCTAGCTGATGCTGATTTTGTCATTTTTTTTGTGCTAGTTTAAATGTAAGTTTTCCCTAAAGGAGGAAACAATCTAGCTTGCCGGTCCTTGGCACTATAAAAGGTTGAGAAACACTGTAGTAACTTTTCCAATGGTCCTACAGTGCATTCTCCTATTTTCTCCTTAGCTCTACTCTTTAATGAAGCAGCATGATCACTGTATGATGATGTCCCTATGTACTGACAGAGATATACTGGAGGGAATTCCCTGTGTTTGCCATTCGCCAAGGCTGGAAGGTGAGCCTCTCCTCTCCACCTGCTCCCAGGTGTTTCTATAGAAACGGCCACAGCCAGGTAAGATGCTAATTATCTCCCATTGGACACCAGCTAGCAGCACCACACCTTGTTGTCCATGATAAGCTCATGTAATGGAAAGAGGTATACACTCATTTAGTTCAGTATTACTGCATGTAGCTGGTGCTAATGTATTTGTAACAGCCAAACTGATCCAATGACAATCTAAATATGTACACTGAGTATACCAAACATTAGGAACACCTTCCTAATATTGAGTTGCACCTCCCCCTTCTGCCTTCAGAACAGCCTCAATATGTCAATTCGTCGGGGCATGGACTCTGAAAAACCCAGTAGCGTTGCAGTTCTTGACACAAATCAGTGTGCCTGGCACCTACTACCATACCCCGTTCAAAGGCACTTAAATCATATGTCTTGCCCATTCACCCTCTGAATGGCACACATTACACAATCCATGTCTTAATTGTCTCAAGGCTTAAAACCCCTTCTTTAACCAGTCTCCACCCCTTCATCTACACTGATTGAAGTGGATTTAACATCAATAAGGGATCATAGCTTTCACCTGGATTCACCTGGTCAGTCCATGTCATGGAAAGAGCAAGTGTTCTTAATGTTTTGTATACTCCATGTATATTGATATGATCTACTGTATCACCCATGGAAAACAAAACAACTCACCAGTGACTTATTTCATATGTATTTATGGACTGACAATGAGAAATCAAGAAAAGGTGCAATACTCTTAATAACGTTCACAGAAATTGGCTGAAAAGGACCAAGTGTGAAAACACCCTAAATCTCATGACAAGACAACTTTAAAGACTGTGAGCTCTGCTTCCTGATTATAGTGATTTCCTGGTAGGGTGGTTATTTTTGAGACAACCGAGGCAGAATATGCTGCTTTAAAGAGAAGAGAGAATTAAGTAAGTAAAATTGAACATTACTAACAGAGCAAGACAGAGGTAATACTTACAAAATATAGATTTGTACATATTATTGATTAAAATTGTGGAACCCAGCTCACATTTCCCCGATTGAGGTTACTCAATATTACCTGAAGAGAAAATGAACCACTACTGAATGGAACACTTTGACTTCTGATTGATTAACTTTTTTTAAATCAGAGCTTTACATGTGTGTTATTTGTTCATCACCCATGGACTCGACATTGCGGACAAATCCCCCAAACCCCCTTGATTTCCTCTCAGCCAGTTTTACTTGCTGTGACCTAGCGTTTGAACGGTTTGGGCTATTACTATATGACCCCATTCCTGAAAGCTAAGACTCTCAGGTATGTTCCCGCAAAATATGACAAGATTCAAATGTTTGTCACTAGTTGTGTTCCATTTCAGGGTAAGCAATACTGCTTCTTAAAGTGAGTGATGGTTTTATATAGTAAACATACAGTATCTTGAGACAATTTCAAAGATAAAACAGAATATACTGATTTATAGAGAAGAGAGAATAATGTGTCTGTTCATTATAGTAGGCTTACATGCCTCTTACCACAGTTTGCAAAAAGACAAAAACATAAAGTTCCCCATCTTACTCTTTGTTCCTTAAACTGTTAACCCATTACAGTCTAAACCCTGTCTAAAAGGGGGGAATGGGCTATTAGCCCATACAAATGCATTGTATAACAGATAGTCCCCCCACAAAAAAAAGTGTCTGACCTATAGAGTACCACAGTATGAGTCATAATACCTATAAAAACTAGCGGTCAAACAAGGAAATGGTTCCAATCTTATTTCCACCATTAATTTTTCCCACAGGGGATTTTAGAAACACTTAAATTAGGGCTGTGTTTCGTGTAGGCTTACCCTGGTGTGACATTTGGATAACCATGTAAATCTCTCTAGGACAAGGTGATTTGTATCAAGGCTGTATTTACCCCCACAAAATGAAATGCTAATTTGCTGCTAAAATGGATATCATAAAGAACTGCAAATGCCATGATGATCTGGACGAGACTGCCGAATCGAGGGAAAGGTAAGAATCTCTGGATTAACTATGTAATGGCAAAATTTCTTTAAATGGACAATTCTAATTAGCATTTTCAAATCTGAGAGTAAATATAGCCAAATATATATTGATAAAAGTCCCCGTGTCCTACAGATATTTACATGGTTATTAAAACGTCACGCCATGGTAAGCCTACATGAAACACAGCCCTTATTTTAAATGTTTCTAAAATTCCCTATGGAAAAATGATTGGAACCATTTCCCTGTTTGACACCTCCACTGTGGGGCTCTATATCTGAGAGATATCAGAAAGATCAGGAAACATGCAAAAACATTTTTTTACATGTATTTAACATCTCATTTTTGGTTCTAAACAGTCTCCATATACAGCGCATTCGGAAAATATTCAGACCCCTTGATTGTTTCCACATTTTGTTACGTTACAGCCTTATTCTAAAATGGATTAAATAGTTTTTTTCCCCCCTCATCAATCTACACACAATACCCCATAAAAAAAACAGAAATATCACATTTACATAAGTATTCAGACCCTTTATTCAGTACTTTGTTGAAGCACTTTTGGCAGCGATTACAGCCTTGAGTCTTCTTGAGTATGATGCTACAAACTTGGCACGCCTGTATTTGGGGAGTTTCTCCCATTCCTCTCTGCAGATCCTCTCAAGCTCTGTCAGGTTGGATGGGGAGCATCGCTTCACAGCTATTTTCAGGTCTCTCCAGAGATGTTCGATCGGGTTCAAGTCCGGGCTCTGGCTGGGCCACTCAAGGACATTCAGAGACTTGTCCTAAAGCCACACCTACGTTGTCTTGGCTGTGTGCTTATGGTTGTTGTCCAGTTGGAAGGTGAACCATCGCCTCAGTCTTTGGTCCTGAGCGCCATGCTTCACAGTAGGGATGGTGCCAGGTTTCCTCCAGATGTGACGCTTGGCATTCAGGCCAAAGAGTTCAGTCTTGGTTTCTTCAGACCAGAGAATCTTGTTTCTCATGGCAAACTCCAAGCGGACTGTCATGTGCCTTTTACTGAGGAGTGGCTTCCGTCTGGACATTCTACCATAAAGGCCTGATTGGTGGACTGCTGCAGAGATGGTTGTCCTTCTGGAAGGTTCTCCCATCTCCACAAAGGAACTCTGGAGCTCTGTTAGAGTGACCATCGGGTTCTTGGTCACCTCCCTGACCAAGGCCCTTCTCACCCGATTGCTCAGTTTGGCTGGGCGGCCAGCTCTAGGAAGAGTCTTGGTGGCTCCAAACCTCTTCCATTTAAGAATAATGGAGGCCACTGTGTTCTTGGGGACCTTCAATGCTGCATAATGTTTTTGGTACCCTTCCCCAGATCTGTGCCTCAACACAACCCTGTCTCGGAGCTATACAGACAATTCCTTCGACCTCATGGCTTGGTTTTTGCTCTGACATGCACTGTCAACTGTGGGACCTTAAATAGACAGGTGTGTGCCTTTCCAAATCATGTCCAATCAATTGAATTTACCACAGGTGGACTCCAATCAAGTTGTAGAAACATCTCAAGGATGATCAATGGAAACAGAATGCACCTGAGCTCAATTTCGAGTATCATAGCGAAGGGTCTGAATACTTATGTAAATATGTTTTTGTTTTTGTTTGTATTATTTTTTATTTGCAAATATTTCTAAAAACCTGTTTTCGCTTTGTCATTATGGGGTATTGTGTGTAGATTGATGAGGAAAATGTTGAATTTAACCCATTTTAGAATAAGGCTGTAACGCAACAAAATGTGGATAAACTGAATAATTTCTGAATTGACGTCAATACAAAACCTAGGAGGCTTATGGTTCTCACCCCCTTCCATAGACTTACACAGTAATTTTGACAACTTCTGGAGGACGTTCTCCAACCTATCAGAGCTCTTGCAGCATGAACTGACATGTTGTCCACCCAGTCAATGGATCAGAGAATGAATCGAGTACTGAAAGCATAAGCTACAGCTAGCTAGCACTGCAGTGCATAAAATATGGTGAGTAGTTGACTCAAAGAGAGAGAAAGACAATAGTTGAACAGTTTTGAACAAATTAATTACTTCAAAAAATAAGGAGAAGCGAGAGAGAGAGCTAGCATTAAAAATATATTTATATATATCATTGTTTTACTTTCACTTACTTAGCTAGGGAATGCAGCTAGCTAGTTTAGCCTACTCAAACACCCGGCTCAAGCAGAGATGCTATGTTAGCTAGCTGGCTATGGCTATCCAACACTGTAACTCTTCCAAGTCAATGTAAGCTTTTGGTTTTATTAATTTATTGCCACCGGGGCCCACCGGTGTAACTGCTAAACTGCTTACTGTACACTGTACTGCATGATTGTAGCGGGTTTACTAACGTGTTATTTCTAGTAACTATGTTGACTATGACGTTCGTTAATATGGTGACACAACGATGGAGGCTGTGTGTAGTGTTAATTTTTAAACGGCACCGACCGCCACTGCTGCATACTTAATTTTGCTTGTTCGAGTAGGCTATCCATCCCCATTTTGAAAGAACGCCCCTCGTCCAATTGCCAAAGACATGCGCCTCCAAACTATTCAGTCCTCCAATAATGCCATATTCAACGGCAGATTGACAAAATTGACAGTAGCCTAGTGTTTTGTATAGAGGTGTGAATGTTATATATAAAACTTTGACTTGTTCTGTTGTTTAATAGTGCCAAGTGATTTAAAATGGCCACCTCATCACCTTCCCCACCCACACCTGTTCCAGAGCGGTTACTAACTATTCTACAACAACTTACCAATGAGGAGTTGAAGACATTTCAGTGGTACCTGAAGCAGTCTGTTTTGGATGGCTCATCTCCCATCCCAGTTAGCAGGCTGGAAAATGCTAAAAGAGAGGACACAGTGGATCAGATGGTGCATAGCTATGGGGAAGCTGGTGCTCTGGAGATCTCACACCATATTCTGCAGAAGATGAAACGGAATGATCTAGCTGGTAAGTTAAAGACAGACTGTAAAATAGCTCAGGATTCATACTGTATGCTTGAGCCTTTAATCATTTTAAAATGCAAATTTGATTGAAACCAGACATGTTTGCCAACTTGGAGGGAAAGAGTTGTTATGGAGGGAATATATTTTCTTTAATTGCAGCACCACTACCTCCTTCTTTGGAGGACCACATTATCATACATTATTTAGTCCCTCCAAAATAAAACAAATGCAGACCTCATTGACTGATCAATACATCAATTAATATACATGTTGCTTTGTCTAGGTCCAATGTCAGGGACAGACCACCAAGCCACAGCAGGAGTATCAGCCACACCACCCACACCCAGCCTGAACACAAGCACTGTACCAGTTCAGGATGTTCAGGATGCTTCTGCAGATCTCTCCAACCACACTGAGCCTGGAGACCATGTTAAGGAACATACACTCACTGCTGTTAACTCTACAGATTATGGTAAATAATATAACATCTCACACTATGGAGAGAGGTATTCAATACAACTATATGTCTTCTAATTTCTTTTAAAAAATACTTTTGTTTTTTTGTCTTTGCATTCCCAGAATGTAGCATTAACGGGTCGTATTTTAGTTCCTCACCCTGAAAGCAGTCTATGGGCTAGGAAAAACTGTAATCTATGGTTCAGTTTTCTTTAAACAGCCACTACAAACTTCAGCTGACTTTCGCCACTGCTAGCAAAACATTTATGGGAGTGATCGGGGTATTCAGTGCCTTTTAATAATTTCATGGCCAAATCACTTTCATTGATGTTTAACTAGCGGTGGCTAAAGTTAGCTGAAGTTTGTAGTGGCCGTTTATAGAAAACCAAAACATGGATTACAGTTTCGTCTGGCCCCACGCATCTCAAGTTCGTATTCTGTCTTTAATAATAAATCAGTCCCTCCAGAATTTCGCACCGTTTTTATAATATACATTTGCGGGCAAAAATGCTTGACTTCGCTGCAACAATTCTGACATTTTGCATGGCAATTTGCAATATTTGTGTCCAATTTGTCACAGAAATGCACTGCCAGAGGAAAGAGTTTGGAGATGTGTAGCTTTAGCAAACCATTTGAATGGAGGAGCATGTCATGGCTAATCTGATGTGAACCAAATGAACAGGGTGGACAGGCTTCAGCGTAGAAGGACGTCGGGAGGTTGAAGGCCGAAGAGTGTGATCGTATGAGATGGTCGGACTGCGATAGCATCTGGTTGTGGCGGAATCGTGGGGTCGGGTAGAAATGGTGACTGTGTCATGCATGGGAAATCCCGGTAGGAATCCAGACAAAGGCCGAAGATCAGGGAAGCTCTGGGACGTGGACGTGGAGGTTTCTCTGCATGATCTGCTGGTGGACCGCAGCCGAGACAGGAGATGGTTGGGACAGTGGGGCAGAGGAAGTTGCTGTGTTGGATGGAGGCTTGGCGGTGTCGAGGGGGTAGGTTGTGGATGAAGCAGCAGAGGCTGGGAGGTACAGTTCAGGGAGAGTCGTACTGCTGGAAGCTGCTGGGCCGTCAGCGGAAGCTGCAGGGACGTGAAGTCTGTGTCGGATGCCAGGTCATAATCTGTGGAGGCTGGGTGAGAATCCAGGTCCGGAGCTGGTTTGGGCTGAGTTGGTGGTTGTGGAATGAATATATGGCAGTGGAGGTGGCAGGGGATGACATCATGGTGGACCTCGGGAGCGTGGTGTCTTCAGATTGGTGGGCAACATGCGTGGAGGTGGATGTGGTTGTAGCCCCGGGCAGGAGGGGCAGCTGTAGTAAACCAATGGGAAAGAGGGAGAAGTAGTTTAGTGGAAGAAAAGGGAGGGAGAGAGCAAGATAACAAGAGAGGGAAAAACAATAATGGCAGAACATAATGATGGCAGAAAGCCAGTCTGAGTCTAAATAGTATGGTGGCCAATATATGGTTGGTTGAAAATAGCATAATGCAACAATCTGATGACATATGATACTATGTGTGGCCTGCCCTCACGTGGGCTGAAATGAATGGCATAATGAAATGTGCCAAACAGCAGAGCTTTTATCAAAAATGACTCTTAACATGGAAGAAGGGAATATGGGATTGTAGGGAGAAATTCTTAGAACAGATGAGATTCTGCGTCAAGAGTAATTACTTTACCGCCGATGGATGAATATCCGAGACTCGGGTGCAATGGTAGGCGGCACGGCCTCTCGAGTCCACCGAGGAGTGGGGCATGGGGCTTGCATGTGGCCGGGAGATGTGCTGGTGCATTTGGGGAAGGGCCGTGAATAGCAGAGAAATGCGCTCAGGAGAGCATGCTGGTGCGCTCTTGAGAATGGGCCGCGGACGCGCCGGGGTGCAAAAATGTCTCTCAGCCTAATGGCAAAACATAAACAATAGCATGAGATGAGCTATAAAACAACGCCTTTTTCTCTCTGACCCATGGCAAGAAGTGTAGAATTGCAGGAAATTAGCTTTAAAACTGCAAAAAAATTGAGGTCGGTGCCCCGGGGCCCCAAATGGGGTAGTCCGGGCCTGGGGAGGAGTTCTAAGTAGTTTGATTGTCAAGCGGGGAGGAAATGTAAATTGTTTCATTTGTGGTCTTTCCTCCTGAACTTTAGTTACGTTACACATGACACAATTTTGTAGTGTGGCTAGCCACTGGATGGCTCTGAATGCACTGTCAGCATGCAGTCAAAGCTACTAACCACTTGTGGACCTAACTAGTGCTTGCAAATCTTATCCTGATGTCGACAGCAGTTGAGAGTTATATTCATATATAGCTAACTTAGCTAGCTAACATACATTTCGAGAAGACAAATTATATTAACTGGCTAGCTAGCTAGCTTTAGCAACATTTTCAGTGGTGGCCAATGAGCTAGCTAACCAGCTAGCAAACAATGCAACAAAAGTATAATTTCAGATTTAAAAAATACTCTAACAAGCTCTGCATTTTAGTAATCACAGTCGCAAGTACCCCTTGTGCACTGTTAAATTATTAAGCCACTTAAACAATTACTTTTTTTATGAAAACCCTCAGTTTTTGCCATTGTCCGAGTCTGGTTGGATTTGAGCCTGGTTACCGACAGTTGCTATCCACCGGCTTAACGAAGGGTAAATTGTTGATTTGCACACAAAAAATGTGAACGCAGAATCGCAAAATCATGGAGGGACTGATAAATGAATCGCTAAACACAATCAAACCTTGATTATACCTAATCCTAAACTGAAATTGTATATCCATTGTCAGGTCCTTCATATGAAGATGTTGAGAAGTACCAACATAAATTCCAATACAAACTGAAGGACAAGATTCAGCATGTATTTGAGGGGGTGCCAAAACAGGGAAAGAAAACACTTCTCAATAAGATCTACACAGAACTCTACATCACAGAGGGTGGACGTGAAGAGGTCAATAATGAACATGAGGTAAGACAGATTGAGATCGCATCCATGACACCAGCAGCAACACAAGAAACGTTGATCGAATGCAATAACATCTTTACATTTGTACCTGGACAAGACAAACCTACCAGAACTGTGCTGACGAAGGGAGTCGCTGGCATTGGAAAAACATTCTCTGTACTTAAGTTCATTTTGGACTGGGCTGAAGGAAAAGCAAATCAAGATATCCAGTTCATATTTTCACTGCCTTTTCGAGAGCTGAATTTGGTGAGGAAGAAAATGCTGAGTTTAGTGGATCTTGTTCATGAATGCATCAAAGAGGCAAAAGTGATTGAGAAGGAATTTCTCTATCAGATTTTCACAAAATTACAAGAATCAGGAAACCCAAACTACAATGAGAGCAAGTACAAAGTTCTATTTGTCCTTGATGGTCTAGATGAGTGTCGATTGCCTCTAGACTACAAGAAGAATGAGAGCTGGGATAAAGCTACAGAGCCAACCTTAGTGGATGTGCTTCTGAAATCCCTCATCAATGGGAATCTGCTTCCCTCTGCTCGCCTCTGGATAACCTCCAGACCTGCAGCAGCCAATCAGATTCCTTCTGGGTGTGTTGACCAGGTGACAGAAATACGAGGGTTCAATGACCCACAGAAGGAGGAGTACTTCAGGAAGAGATTCAGTGATGAGAATCTGGCAAACAGAATCATCTCACACATTAAGACATCAAGGAGTCTCCACATCATGTGCCACATACCAGTCTTCTGTTGGATCTCAGCTACAGTTTTGGAGCGCATATTGAGTACAGATAAGAATGGAGAAATACCAAAGACTCTGACTCAATTATTCCTTGGTTTACTGGTGTTTCATGCTAAACAGATGAATGAGAAATATAATGAGAACGGCGAGGGAGATCCACACTGGGATAAAGATAGCATTATGGCACTGGGAAAACTGGCTTTTCAACAGCTAAAAAATGGCAACCTAATTTTCTATGAGTCAGATCTGCAAGAGTGTGGCATTAATGCCAGAGAAGCTTCGGTTCGCTTGGGAGTGTTCACACAGCTCTTCAGAGAGGATTATGGGCCGTTCCAGGAGAAGGTGTACTGTTTCGTGCATCTGAGCATCCAGGAGTTTCTGGCTGCATTGTATGTATTTCTATCATTCAACAACAGCAATGTAAACCTAATGAACGAAGACCTTTCTGCCATCAGAAAAATTCTTAGGAAGTTTACATTAAAACCTGCCATCACCTTTCACAAGAGTGCTGTGGATAAAGCCTTACGGGGTAAGAATGGACACCTGGACCTGTTCCTCCGCTTCCTCCTGGGCCTCTCACTAGAGTCCAATCAGTCTCACTTACAAGGCCTACTGACACAGACAAGAAGCATGAGAAGCAGCTCTCAGTGCCATGAGCAAACAGTCAAGTACATCAAGGAGAAGATCAGAAAGAATCACTCTCCAGAGAAGTGCATCAATCTGTTCCACTGTCTAAATGAATTAAATGACCATTCGCTAGTGAAGGAGATCCAAAACTACCTGAGCTCAGGAAATGTCTCCAGAGAAGAACTCTCACCTGCACAGTGGTCAGCTCTGGTCTTTGTGTTACTGACCTCAGAAGAGGAGCTGGTTGTGTTTGATCTGAAGAAATACTCCAGATCAGAAAAGGGGCTTCTGAGACTGTTGCCAGTAGTCAAAGCCTCCAGAACATCACTGTGAGTTGAAATCATACTATATTATAATCGTCAGTCAGAATTCAATTATATTATACATGTGAAGAGTTTATTTCCAAAACGCTATATCCACTAATTTTTCACATTTGTGTTTTTTCATCAGAAGTGATTGCTAATGGGTACATTCATGTGTGTAAAATATTACTGTTCTCAAATTTTTCATTCATAGATTTTAGATGTGTATGAAAATGTGTTTTTTTTATATATCCATTGTTTAGCTGGAATGGAATGTTCGTATCCTGTATATTTGATTGTGATATGTGGTTGTCTCACCTAGCTGCCTTAAGATGAATGCACTTACTGTAAGTCACTCTGGATAAGAGCATCTGCTAAATGACTAAAATGTCAAATGTAAACGTTTTACAGATCTCATATTACTGTATTGATTTTGTATATATATTTGATGTCACAAATGTATCATTTGTACATTTCTTTATAGAAAATGTATTTATTTGTTACATTTGACTGTGTGAAACCTAACAGTACTACTTATTTCTCTGAGAGTGAAGCGAATATATACAGTGCCTTCAGAAAGTATTCATACCCCTTGACTTATTCCACATATTGTTGTGTTACAGCCTGAATTCAAAATGAATTTAAAAATAACTGAATTTTTTCTCACCCATCTACACGCAATACCCCATAATGACAAAGTGAAAACATGTTTTTAGAAATGTTTGCACATTTATTGAAAATGAAATACAGAAATATCTCATTAACATAAGTATTCACACCCCTAAGTCAATAGTTTGTAAAAGCACCTTTGGCAGCAAGTACAGCTTGTGAGTCTTTCTGGGTAAGAGCTTTCCACACCTGGATTGTGCAACATTTGCCCATTATTATTTTCAAAATTCTTCAAGCTCTGTCAAATTGGTTGTTGATCATTGCTAGACAACCATTTTCAGGTCTTGCCATAGATCTTCAAGTAGATTTAAGTAAAAATGGTAACTCGGCCATAGGAACATTCACTGTCTTCTTGGTAAGCAACTCCAGTGTAGATTTGGCCTTATGTTTTAGGTTATTGTCCTGCTGAAAAGTGAATTCATCTTCCAGTGTCTGGTGTTAATCAGACTGAACCAGGTTTTCGTCTAAGATTTTGCCTGTGTCCATTCTGTTTCTTTTTTATCCTGCAAAACTCCCCCGTCCTTAACGATTACAAGCAAACCCATAACATGATGCAGCCACCACTATCTTTGAACATATGGAGAGTGGTACTCAAAATGTGTTGTATTGGATTTGCCCCAAACATAACACTGTATTCAGGACAAAAAGTTAATTGCTTTGCCACATTTTTTGCAGTATTACTTTAATGCCTTGTTGCAAACAGAATGCATGTTTTGGAATATTTCTATTCTGTACAGGCTTCCTTCTTTTCACTCTGTCAATTCGTTTAGTGTTGTGGAGTAACTACAATGTTGTTGATCCATCCTCAGTTTTCTCCTATCACAACCATTCAACTGTAACTGTAAAATCACCATTGGCCTCATGGTGAAATCCCCGGTTTCCTTCCTCTCCGGCAACTGAGTTAGGAAAAACGCCTGTATCTTTATAGTGACTGGGTGTATTGATACACCATCCAAAGTGTAATTAATAACTTCACCATGATCAAAGGGATATTCAATGCTTGCTTTTTTTTTTTTTACCCATCGACCAATAGGTGCCCTTCTTTGTGAGGCATTGGAAAACCTCCCTGGTCGTTGTGGTTGAATCTGTGTTTGAAATACACTGCTCGACTGAGGGACCTTACAGATAATTGTATGTGGTGGGGTACAGAGATGAGGTTAGTCATTCAAAAATTCATGTTAAACAATATATTGGCACACAGAGTGAGTCCTGCAACGTATGTGAACTTGTTTAAGCTAATTTTTACTCCTGAACTTATTTAGGCTTTGCCAAACAAAGGGGTTGACATAGTATTGATCCAAGACCATTTCAGCTTTTCATTTTTTATTATTGTAAACTTTCGAAAAATAATTCCACTTTCAGTGTTGTGACATTTTTATTAGCATTGGTTATTTTCTTGTTGGGTGATTTCTATTGGGGGTAACTAGTTGTGATTTGCTGAAACCCAATCGGATAAGTGTCCTGTCGGTCGTACTGGGGCCAATATGGTTTTGTGGGTTTTTGTTCCTGTTT